AACATCGTTTTCCAGATGGTCGTGGTTGTTATAATCATGGTCGTGGTTGTTATAATCATGGTCGTGGTTGTTATAATCATGGTCGTGGTTGTTATAATCATGGTCGTGGGTGTTATAATCATGGTCGTGGTTGTTATAATCATATCATGGTCGGTTGTTATAATCATGGTCCTGGTTGTTAAGTAACTGGCGGTCGTGGTTATTATAATCATGGTCGTGGTTGTTACAATCATGGTCCTGGCTTGCGCTATAACTGGCGGTCCTGGTTGCGCCATAATCATGGCCGTGGCTATATAATATGGTCGTGGCTGTTATACCGCGATCCTGGTTGTTATAATCATGGTCGGTTATAATCATGGTCGTGATGCTATAATCATGGTCGTGGTTGTTATTCATGGTCGTGGGTTGTTATAACTGGCGACATGGTTGTTATAATCATGGTCGGTTGTTATAATCATGGTCGTGGTTGCTATAATCATGGTCGTGGTTGTTATAATCATGATCCCGGTTGTTATAATCATGGTCCTGGTTGTTATAATCGCGGTCGGGTTGCTATAATCATGGTCGTGGTTGTTATATTCATGGTCGTTGTTATAATCAGCGCATTGGCGGTTGTTATAACTGTCGTGGCTGTTATTATCATGGTCGGGTGTTATAATCATGGTCGGTTGTTATAATCATGGTCGTGGTTGTTATAATCATGGTCGTAGTTGCTGTTATAATCATGGTCGTGGTTGTTATAATCACGGTGGTCGTGGTTGTTATAATCATGGTCGTGTTGCTATAATCATGGTCGTGGTTGTTATAATCATGATCCTGGTTGTTATAATCAGCGGTCGCGGTTTATTATAATCATATTGTGGCTGTTATATAACTGTCGGTCAAGGCGTATTATTGGTCGTGCTATAATCATGGTTGTGGTTGTTATAATCATGGTCCTGGTTGTTATAATCATGGTCCTGGTTGTTATAATCATGGTCATGGTTGTTATAATCATGGTCGTGGTTGTTATAATCATGGTCGTGGTTGTTATAATCATGGTCCTGGTTGTTATAATCATAGTCGTGGTTGTTATAATCATGGTCGTGGTTGTTATAATCATGATCCTGGTTGTTATAATCATGGTCGTGGTTATTATAATCATGGTTGTGGTTGTTATAATCATGGTCGTGGTTGTTATAATCATGGTCGTGGTTGTTATAATCATGGTCGTGGTTGTTATAATCATGGTCCTGGTTGTTATAATCATTGTCCTGGTTGTTATAATCATGGACATGGTTGTTATAATCATGGTCGTGGTTGTTATAATCATGGTCCTGGTTGTTATAATCATAGTCGTGGTTGTTATAATCATGGTCGTGGGTGTTATAATCTTGGTCGTGGTTGTTATAATTATGGTCCTGGTTGTTATAATCACGGTCGTGGTTGTTATAATCATGGCCGTGGTTGTTATACTCATGGTCCTGGTTGTTACAATAAGGGTCGTACCTGAGACTAACACAGGTAGAATAAACCCCACACTTTATCTTTAATCTCAATAAACCCAGATTAACCTCACCTAATCAACAGGATTAGAGACTCTTAGGGTTGTACCACCAATACCGATACATTTCACACTGGATTAATAACAAAATATTTAATCACATTTCCAATAGCTAATGTCTTAAGGATATCTTATCAAGTTGTGAGTCTTACATGTCTATATAATTATGTTTTATTCTTACAAATATTTATAGTTCGTTGTGTATTGTATTGTATGGTATGGTATTATATGGTATTGTATGGTATTGTACTGTATTGTATCCGGCTGACAGCGTACAGCGAATGAGGGTGCGGCAAGTCCGTAGACTTGCATGGTTAAATAGGGTGCGTTTTCCATCGTAAATAAAATGGTTTATTAATGGCTTCCTAAAGAAACCATCGACATGGGACCAGATTTGTTCCACTCTACGAATTTTTTCCGATTTTTCCACTAAGTTTGATGAAAAACGATTGTGCCGTTTCGGCTGCACAGACAGACAGACAGACAGCCAGACATACATTCCTATAGCTCTATAATATATTAGATATAGATGAAGAGGTTTTTCCATGTCCATTATCTCAAGTTTTGATTTCATAAACTTGTTTCTCCTCTTTGAGATAATGTCTTGCACTGGGGGAATACCTGACAGAGATCACGCACACATTCATACACGTGTTTTTCCTCAAACCTAACAAGCACTTCATCAGTTCATTATATTGTCTTTCCAATCCTTTCAGGTTTTTGGTCAGTCACGACTCAAAACAGTACAATAATGATGAGGTTCCTGCAGAATCAAATACTTGTTTCTTGTATACAAATGGCCCCAATCGAAAAAGGCCCAATCCAGAGAGGCCCCACTCTAACCAAAACAGCCCCACCCTGTGACCAAAACGGTCCCACAGTGTGACCAAAACGGCCTAACTCTATCCAAACCTAACCAAACCTAGCCATGTTGACAGTCTGAGCTGCTTTTTTTTTATTTATTGGGCACTCCCCTACATCTTTGTGTAAGGTGAAGCGCAGAAGCATTTACAGGGCCCAACAAGGAAGCATGCTAAGTTCATGCTTGCCTTATGTCTCATGAGTTAAGGGCGTAGAAGCCTGAAGAGTCGATGGTTTATGTCTAAGCAAGTTATTGGAAGTTCCAACAACTTGTCCCCGAATACAAATTCGCAATTTTCGACTTACAGCAGGTACCTACTTTGCTGCTAGGTGTACAGGGACGAAGGGAACTAGGAAGAGTGTCCAAACAACTTCCGCCGACCCGGGAATCGAACTCGTGACATCTTGCTTGCGAGGCAAGAGCGGTACCGCTCTACCACCAGCTCCCCCTCTGAGCTGCTATGATTGAATGACGAATGGAAGCTGGTCAGAGTGAAACGCTGGCTGGGTAACTAACCAGAAGTGGCAACTGTCAAATGTAAACGATGTAAACATTGAACCAAACAACCAGTTGCCACTTCTGGTTAGTTACCCAGCCAACTCAAACTGTCAACATGGCTGCTATCATGCTCAGTTGTGGTTAGGTTAGGTTAGGTTAGAGTTAGGCTGTTTTGGTCACACGGTGGGGCCGTTTTGGCCACAGGGTGGGGCCGTTTTGGTTAGAGTGGGGCCGTTCTGGTTTGGGTCGTTTTCGACTGGGGCCGTTTTCTCCTGCTGCCAAATGACATTTGTGTGTTGGCTGCACAAAAATGGAAAACTTATTGACCGTGGCTTCACTTGCTGTCTGGTACATTACACCCTCACAATCTTGACATTGTTTTTCTTTACTATTTCATCTCTTATTTCTTCTGCATTATTTTCTGCCACATCTTTGTCCAACTTCTTACATACAAGGGTGAGCTTGGCGCGGTATTCCCGTAGGACAATGACCTCGTATCCGTTAGTTTTCATTTTGTCCATGGCACCAGACTTAAGTAGTTTATCAGCATCTTCATCTGTCTCTGTGAGGATGGTGTAACCATCTCTCAGATCCACGAGTCTATTCATTCTCACTCTTAGGTCACTTAATAGTCTTTTTAGCTCTATCCGAGAGCTAGGTAGGGGTTCTGGAAGTCTTCACTCTCACTTTGGCCATGTTCAGTTAGTTGCATACATGAAAATCCTACCTAATCTGTCCACCTCAGCTATGCCCCATGGATGCCGCTCCTTCTGCCCACTTGCTGGGTGAATAAAGACGGGTATAAGGGTAGGGTGAACAGACAATCCCCTAACACCAAACAGTGGCAGGATCTGAAGCACTGCCGAATCCTTAACGGAGAATGCTGCCACCCTTACTGTCTCGACTCAACAGCCCTTGTGGATCTGCCCGCAAGGTTTGCGTTGTTACCAAACAGCAAGGACTCTAGGGGATAGGATAGGATAGGATAGGATAGGATAGGATAGGATAGGATAGGGAAGAAGCGTAATGTACAAGAATAATATTATCAATGTACAACTACAAGATAAAGCAGCCAGGGCGAGCTTAACATGAAAACCAAGGCTGAACATGAACCAGGAGCGATGGGCAGCACGCCCACCCGCACTGATGGTTGGGTACGCTCTAACCTTCTTGGCTATTTGGCGAACATTCCCTGGCGTAGTACCGCTTCGAAGATTCGTCAGGTCTAGCAAAGGTGATCCTCTAGTTGACTAAGTAGTACTAACCGATGTTAACCCTACTTAAGCCCATGTAAGGTATCCTGATTGCCGTGACTTGACTCCATGCCCCACCGGGCCTGTGTCACATGTCGATGAGGAAGAAACTGTGATTGGAGAAGACACTCTGCATACCGTACATGAACTGATGTCCACACAGAAATAATAAACCCAGTACGTACTCAAGCTGAATCAGTGGAACAGAGCCTACCTTCGGTTCAAACAATGCCAGCTTTGAGAAGATCTACTCATGTATCAAAGCTGCCCTGAATGCTATAGATCATATTTTTTTTCCAGACGGGAAGAATTATATAGTTTTCATTGTTAGGAACATTCATTTTATGTTTAGCTTTATGTTAGTTTTTTTTGCTATACTTTCCTTATGCTACTTCATCCCACATCACTTGCTATGAAGGGGTTGTGGAATTACCTTTCCACTTATTTTTGTCTTATTTTTTACTTATTGTATATTGTATGACTTCATTGCTTTATTAATGTTTTGCAGTAATGTATATATTGTTTACTGTATTTAAAGAAAACATTTTGAATGAATTCGGTTGTGTTTAAAGGTGACTCTAGTATCACAACTACTGTACGTACAAACTGGTTCAGTACACCTTTATAGTACAGTATATACACTGTTGAATCTTAGTCATATAATATTAATCCTCTAATAATTTTCCCAGATTTAAATAATTCATAGGGTCTGCTGTACCTAATCACCGAGCGCAACAGCAAGGGTCAACTGTACCAGTAAACATATTGGTAGTAAAAGAAAAGCTGTATTGTTTTAGGCATGTTTTCATTATTACTTCAAATGGAAAATTATGAAAAACAAATCATAACTTCAGATTTTTTAATCATAAACCGATTCACCGGGCAATATTTATTTGTTCTCAACTTGAGATTTTTGTATACTAAATCTTCGTAAATTGGAGACTACGGTACCTATATACAGTTAGCACAAGACATTGTATTTTCATACACTTTTCTCGATCACCATCCTAGGGCATCCTACTTTACTTCTGTTTAAATGAGTCCTGGGTGATGTTTAGATATTGTTTTCAAGAAATTATGTGCAGTGTTGTCCTGGAGTCTATTTTGCAGAACTTGTAGAGACCTGTAACCTGTAAGTTAAGCAATGATATTAAGTTCTTAAATGGCTGAAACTCACTAGTAAATTTTATACATGACATCTATGATACTTAAAAAAAATGATCTTATTTAGTTGTACAGGGTATTAAGTGAGCATTTATTGCCATATCTACCAATAACTTCAAATATGTCTAGTAAATTATGATGACCTGAGAAGTGATTGAGCATCACACTCAGCATTGACTATATGCATTAATAAAACTCGTTAACAGATTAGTGGAAAAAGGTGACATATGATTTAAGAGTTAATGATGTAAAGACTGATGAAATTATTGTTTCCATATTGGAAATAAATCCTAAAATACAATTTATAGTAGACAACAGAGCTAAAACAAGTGAAATTTTGTGTGTATTAAAAGTAACATTAGCTATTATGGTTCAGTAGATGTACAAAAGAAATCAAAATAAGAATAGGACGAACAAAAACAGCATTAAAGTCCAAATGAAAGATGACATTTACTTCAATTTGAAAATGCTGCCGAAAGGCTTTATATGGTAAGAAGGTTGTATGGGTCAGAAGCGTGGACACTTTCAGGAGACACCAGAAAGAGATTGAAGGCCTTTGAAAATGTGGTGAATGCTAAACTGTAGAAGTACTAAAATTCGCATAAACTTCAAGAGAAATCATTGAAATATACAGAATAAAAAACGAGATACTTTGGTCATATAATTGCGGATAATGGGAAGGCGGAAACTAGGCTGGTTGAATGAAATTAAAAACTGGGTCTCCAGAGAGATATAAAACCTTGGAGGATTGGTAAAAACAGCCTGAGAACGTAAAGTGGTCGCCAACCCTCAGATAATATGACGACGGCATTTTGATTGATTGATACCTGGATTTATCCAAGCACTCGTTCAATAATGAGAGACAAGCGTAGTACAAGTGCAGGTGGTGAGGCCAGGGCCATATTTAGACATGTGGGGTCCTGGTGGAATTCAAATGTGGGAACCCATAGGTAATCAGATACATTATTTAAAAATAATATCTGCCACTATACATAACTACCTATATTAAACATACAAATTGTACAGCACAGCTTATAAAAGCTACATCATCTCGAATCTGTGATGCTGCTAACACTAAAAAGAACTTGACAGTTAAGTTGCGGCAGCTGCCAGATTCCATTATCCGTGTAATACCTGTACTGAGGACAGTCATACATGTTAGTTGCATAGAATCAGATGATTCATATAACGCTCAATAGCCCATAAAGCATGTAGCTACTGAGACGTCCATTTTCTGTTTGTTGTCCGCTTCAGAACTCAACTGAGACGTCCGTTTTCTCAATCATCTGTTCAAGAATGTTAAGAAATCTCATGTTTACATTTGTATATTTAAAATTACGAGTGAATGCTATGTGTTACTGTAAGATATAAATACTTGCTTATAGCTGAAACATTCAAGATCCATTGTTAGTGATGTTGAAAGCTTCAATTGTATTTACTTTGAGTAAAATTGTCAAGTAAGTCGTGTGTTAGAGTTTGCAATAGAGGAGTAAAATCCTGACATGGCCCTGTGAGACGTACAAGAGTTCTTCTCGTCACTGAAGCCAGATTGCTTTGATTCACAGTGTATTGAAATTATTGCTAGCTTTGTATTTAAGAAAATCTTTAATCATTTGCGAAAAGCCTCTCAACTGCTCACTGCCTGAAATCTAACAGCTGGGCATGAATGAGACTTTGTGGGATGTTTTGCTAAATCTGCACAAAGTGTGAATGCCAGGCTATGCACTTTTTGCAATTTAATTATTGCACTGCAAACTCAAACATTGTTTAGACTGTAAGCAATATCCTTAAGAAATTGATCTGACCCATAACACTGATTCTCGTAGCCCAGTGTGTACCGCAACTGAGTTTAATGACTATGTACGTAAGTTCTTGATGGGACATCATAGTAGATACAAGTGATTGCGGGCACCTTTGTGCCCAGTGAAAGTTTGAACGCTCGTGCTTGGCTAGTGTACATCGAATGAGGGTGTGTCAAGTCCGTAGACTTGCATGGTTAATTAGAGTGCGCCAAGTCCGTAGAATTGCATCGTTTTCCATCGTAAATAAAATGGTTAATTAATGCCTTTCTAAAGAAACCATCGACATGGAACCAGGTTTGTTCCACTCTACGAATTTTTTGCGATTTTTCCACCAAGTTTGATGAAAAACGATTGTGCCGTTTCGGCTGCCCAGAACAGACAGACAGACAGACAGACACACGCCTAGTCCTATAGTATATCAGATACTGTACTGTACAGGGGCATTGTACGAGAGACGAGCAGTCACTTCCTCGACGCTCCTCCATCGTATATCAGTTACGTACTATATTGCACACTGCCATATTAAGTGAATTTAACTCAGTTGAACTTTGTTAATTATATCAGTGTTCCTGCTTTAAAGTAGCTGAACGTCTTTTGCAACAATTAATAATGTAATGTAATTGGGCGCCTTTAGTGTTGAATGATTCGTGTGTTCCTTGCAAGACGTGTTTTGTGACAATTTGTATTTTGACTTTGCACTTCTTTGACACTCCTCCATCGTATACCAGGTACTCTCGGTGTTGCTGCCATTGCTAAGGATCGGTAGCCACCTGCGGGCAAGATATCCAAGTTAGGATGTCTTACAATAGGTTAATATCTGATTGCAGGATGCACCAGGGAGAACGAGTGCGGGATCGCTAATTCGTCGAGCACTGAGTCCAGCCACGGCTTCAGAGTGTAGCCGAGCAGCATTTGTTTTGAATACCAGCGGTGTATGCCTGGTATACTCATACTGACTATAAGCGTTTGTTATAGACGCACGGAACAGCTAACGCCCTAATAAAGACAAAAAGTACTGCTTGGAATGTGGAGCTGAAGGGCACACATTCAGGGAGTGTAACAGCAAAGAAAACCCAAAATGTCTGAATTGCAAAGGACCTCGCCGTACTTTGGCAGCACGCTGCCCAGTAAGGAAGGACATCATTAAAGACATGAAAGAAAAGGAAAAGTCGAACAAACAAATAGAAACTGACCCAACCAAAACCTATGCTGCAATAACAAAGTTGCAAGACACCACTTCTGAAGAGTTAGAAAAAACAACAAAAGATATAGCCAATGCAGAAAACACTTACCTGAAGCTAAGTGAAGGTCTACCCTTCAGCATACTAACCACACTGATACATGCCCACATAAACATCGTGGCTAATCCAGGTACATTTGGAAGAACTGTCTGAAGCGGTACCGCTCTTGCCTCGCAAGCGAGATGTCGCGGGTTCGATTCCCGGGCTGGTGGAAAAGTTGTTTGGACATACTTCTTAGCCCCAATTGGTCCCTGTTCGCCTAGCAGTAAAGTAGGTACCTGTTGTAAATCGAAAGTTGCGAATTCGTATTCAGGGACAAGTTGTTGGAGCTTCCAATAACTTGATGACAAAAACGATTGACTCTTCAGATTTCTATGCCCTTGACCCTTCAGGCTTCTATGCCCTTGACCCTTCAGGCTTCTATGCCCTTGACCCTTCAGGCTTCTACGCCCTTAACTCATGAGACATAAAGGCAAGCATGAACTTAGCATGCTTCCCTGTTGGGCGCTGTAAACGCTTCTGCGCTTCACCTTACACAGGTTGTAGGGGGGTGCCCAATTAATAAAAAAAAAAAAAAAAGTTACCATATGCAGAAAGTGGAAAAACACTGGGACTCAAAATCACCAGAAACGGTATACACCAACACATTAGAGAAAGATTGACGAAAGCTAAATTACAACTAACCAAACTCTGTTGCTTTAGAAAACTAAATACCAAAACACAGCTACATCTATACGAATCACTCGTCAGACCACACCTTGAATACCCACCAATTCCACTTAACACAATAAAACAAACAAACTCAAGCTGCAAGCAGTCCAAAATACAGCACTAAGAAGAGCAGCAAAACATAGGCCGCCATACAGTCAAAAAATACGAGACATACACATCGAACATAACATAGACACAATTAACATAAGATCACACAAACAAGCAAAAGCGGTAAGGGACAAACTCCACCGAACACAAGACCCTATTTTACAGGAACTATTACAGGCAAACAACAATACAGGGTGAGCATTCTAGATATAAACATGAATGTTGCAGCATTGTGTCGTTTTCCAACAAATTGGTGCACCGCCACACTGGGGTTTAGCTGTCCGTCAGTTCTTGAATGCAACCTTTCCAAACTGATGGATTGGGAGAGATGGTCCAACACCAAGGCCGCCACGTTCATCAGACATTATCCCTCTTGATTTCTTTTTATGGGGGTATACGAAGGACAAAGTGTACAGTTCACCAGTTCCTAATCTTGAAGCTCTGAAGGCAAGGATAACGGAGGCAATAGCGACGGTGACTGAAGAGGTGCTGCAGAAAACATGCCGTGAAATCGAGTATCGCTTAGATGTGCTCCGGGCAACAAACGAAGCACATGTTGAAGTTCACGAGTAACGGAAAAAACTTCTTGAGATAAGGTATAAGCTGCAAAAAACTGTATGTTTGTATCTAGCATATGTTTTGTGTAATAAATGTTTGTAATCAGGGAAAGACTTTATGCTCACCCTGTATATCACACAGCTGGTGGCCAAGTAGCATCAACATTAACACAATCACTAAAGATGAGGAACATCCTTTCAGTTACACAAGGACCTGAAGGGACCCTCCAAGAAACAACCAACAAGAAAGACCAACACCATATGCATAATCTTAAAGATGGGGATTATCCTGACAGTTACACAAGGACCTGGCGGGACCCTCTAGTCACAATTACAAAAGATGAAGAACATCCCTTCAGCAACACAAGGACCTGAAGGGACCCTCCAACAAACCCTAGAACAGCACATTCCCTTGGATCACACTTTAAACCAGGTTAGCTTAGCTTATCTACCCTCCCTTGCCCCTGGAGTACTGAGGGACGTCTGTCACTGGTTAAGCCACAAACCAGCCTCCGCAAGGTGGAAAGCCCACCTGCTATCATTCTCCTTCTGTACGTCCCACTTCTTAACTATACCTTGCCCTAAATCTCATTGTTCACCTCAGAGCCACTGCTCTCTTATCTATCTATATATATATATATATATATATATATATATATATATATATATATATATATATATATATATATATATATATATATATATATATATATATATATATATATATATATATATATATATATGCAAGTAAATCACTGTAGGTGCGCGTGATCTAGGTATATGCTGATAACCACAAGAAAAGAAGAAAACACGAAGTTCCCAAGCTCTTTCGTGTAATTCACATCTTCAGGGGTGGTACACGAAAGCGCTTGGGAACTTCGTGTTTTCTTCTTTCCTTGTGGTTATCGTGACGGGGTACACTTGTCTCGCGCTGGGGTAAAGACGTTGTCTGCATCCCTGGAGCGTGAAATTGTCACTCCGAAAGGGGGGTTTCGCCAGTAGAGAGAGGTCTGGGAAAGTGGGAGTAAAAAAACAAGCTGGTCCTGGGAAGTAGAATTGGTTACTCAGGACCAGGAAAGGGTAGGTTTAAATGTACTGTATACTATAGAAACAGTAGGAGCGTTAGAAATAAAATAGATTTGCTGAGAGCGGTTGTATGTACTGAGAATGTACTGTAGACGTCATAGCAATCACCGAAACCTGGCTCAATCTGGCGAGCAAGTACTTTTTGTCAGAGTACCACATAGAAGGGTACAACCTTTATCACAAGGACAGGGAAGGTAGGAAGAGGGGAGGGGTCGCACTCTTCGTCAGGGATACATTAAAATGTTGCAATAATAATACAATAAAGGGTGAAATAGGAACTGAGTCTATATGGGTAGAAATTGCAGAAGGAAGAGAAAAACCAATTATGGGAGTGATTTACAGGACCACAGGTCTAGGGAAAAAACAACTCAGCCCATATGGCAGGAAATGAGTAGGGTAGCAAAATACAACAACCTGTGCATTATGGGGGATTTCAACTTCAGAAATATTGACTGGGACAACATTATAGGTAACTATGAATCTGAAGACTTCCTAGACGCAGTACAGGGCAATTTTTTAAAGCAACAAATTACAGAACCTATTATTAACAAATAAAGAACATATTATCAGAGACATCATAATAGGGGAAGAACTAGGGAACAGTGATCACAGAGAAATCAGGTTTACCCTAAATTGGGAAACGAAAATTAATGACAATATGGTTAGAGTCCCAGACTTTCGATCAGCGCATTATGAGGGGTTAAGAAGGTACCTAGGTGAGGTCACCTGGGAACGGTCAGGTCAGTCTCTGGTAGGAATGGGTGAGGTCACTAGTGACACAACAATTGATCATGTCTACACTAAATTCACTAGTATACTACATAAAGCACAGGAACAAAATATACCATACACAAAAATAAACTCAAATAAGAATGAGCCAAGGTAGATGACCAAAAACTTAAGCATGACATAGGAATAAAGAAAGGAATTTATAAGAAATTAAAGGGAGGGGAGGGGCATCTCAGAGATAGGTATAATGAACTATCTAGGAATGTTAAGAAAAATGTAAGGAAGGCAAAGAGGGACTACGAAATCAGGATAGTAAGAGAATCCAAGGCAAATCCCAAGGGAATTTTCCAGGTATATAGGACAAAGGTCAAAGACAAACTGGGGCCTTTAAAGTCAGAGAGAGGGGAAGAGGTCGGAGATAGTGCGGAAATAAGCAAAGCATTAAACAGCTACTTATCAGTTTTCACAGAAGAAATTCATGAGGAAACGCCAGAGGTAGAACTGACATTCAGGGGAAATGAAGAAGAAAAACTAAAGAATATCACTATCAGAAAGAGGATGTTCTTTAGAAGATAAATAAATTAAAGAAGACAAAATCCCCAGGGCCGGATGAATTTTCCCTCGAGTTTTGAAGGAGTGTAAGGAACAGATTAGCGGACCCCTCGTAAATTCATTTACAAAATCATTAGACACGGGAGCTGTGCCAGACTTGTGGAGAAAGGCAAATGTAGTACCCATATTCAAAACGGGAGACAGTGTATCAGCGTCAAATTACTGGCCGATTAGTTGGTAGTCGGTAATTGGGAAATTTCTTGAATCGATTACAGCAAATAGCATCCGATCGCATTTAGAGAAAAAAAATTAATCTACGACTCTCAACGTGGATTTACAAACGGAAAATCTTGTCTAACAAATTTGCTGACGTTTTTTAGGAAAGTCTATGAGGTAGTAGATAATGACGAAAATTACGATGTTATTGATTTTGACTTTAGCAAAGCATTTGACAGAGTACCGCATCAGAGGCTTCTGAGAAAAGTTAGCGCCCATGGCATCGACGAGCCGTGTAACTAGTGGGGTTCCCCAGGGGTCAGTACTGGGCCCACTTTTGTTCATAATCTACATAAACGATCTAGATACTGGGATCAGCAGTCACAGTAGCAAGTTTGCGGCAGATTAATTCAGGGCAGGATGCAAATGCACTACAGGAACATAAGAACTTAAGAACATAAGAATGGAGGAAACTGCAGCGGAACTGCAACGGGTCTCTTGGCTCATACTGGGCAGTCCCGTTTACACCCAGCCCCTATTACTCATATATCCACCCAACCTATGTTTGACGCTGTCCAGCGTATTCGAGTTCATGATGATATTTGGTAACTTGTTCCACTCATCCACTTCTCTATTTCCAAACCAGATGAACAACGATGTTATTGAGAAATCCGAATGCGAGTAAGATTTAGGAGTAATTATAAGTAGGAATTTTAAGCCAAGTAAACAATGTGTATTTGCTCGAAACAAGGCTAATAGAGTACTTGGGTTCATACAAAGGAGTGTTAGTTACAAGACTAGCGAGGTCATCTTAAAACTATATCGTGCGCTTGTGAGACCCCACTTAAATTTCGCAGTTCAATTCTGGTCACCGTATTACAGAATGGATATAGAATCCTTGGAAAGAATTCAGAGGAGAATGACAAGACTAATCCAGGGCATTAGGAACCTTGAGTACAGAGACAGGTTAAAGCTTCTAAATTTGCACTACCTCGAGAGACGTAGAGTGAGGGGCGATATGATCGAGGTGTATAAATGGAAGTCAGGGCTGAACAAAGGGGACATTACAAAGGTACTCAAACTATCCAACCAGGAGCGAACTCGTAACAATGGTTATAAATTAGATAAATTTAGATTTAGGCGCGAAATATGCAAATATTGGTTTGGAAATAGAGTAGTAAACGATTGGAAGAAGTTACCAAACATCATCATTAACTCGAATACGCTAGATAGCTTTCAACATAGGTTGGATGGATATATGAGCAATAGGGGTTGGGTGTATATGGGACTGCCCAGTATGGGCCACTAGGCCCACTGCAGTTTCCTCCATTTTGATGTTCTTATGTTCTTAACTGTAATCACGTCTTAATAGTCACCCATTGCCAGAGTGGGTGAATAGTGGGTCTCATGACCTGAATGTCTTGAATAAAGATGAATGGTAAGGTGCTCCAGTGTTTCCCACTTACTGAGTGTACAGTGCAGTGTGCATAACTGCCATCACTTTTTACATTCTTAACACTGCTTTAACACTGTATTCTTGGCTGATTTTGTTCCGGTACAGTAATGTACGGGACTGCACAACACATTTCGTCTGCAAAAACAACAGCTAGTGAGGGAACAACCTTCTACAACGTCACCAGAATATGAACTAAGTGATCCAAGCAGCGAGGCCACCCACGCGCCAGGCACTTGGGGATGGGTTTGGAGCATAATGCAAATTCTAGGAAATCCCTGAAAATTTATTCCCAAACCCAGAATGGAGAGATTTGGAGATATTTTATCCGAACCTTCTCGGAATTTTCACAGAAAATGCACCAGATTTTTTACCTCGGAAACTCATTCATTGAGATAATTTTTTTCAAGAAAAATTTCAAGCCAATTTCAATTCCGCGTATTGAAGAGTGCTGGCTAATAGGGATTCCGGCTAATGGAGATATCACATATTAAGTTTTAAGTTTAATTATCCGTCTTGTAGTGTTCGTTTTAATTATATTTCATCTGTATCTGTAAAATTTCATTTTCCCTAAACTGTTCTAAAAAGAAAATGTGTGTCTGTGTTATACTGTATTCAAATAAGAAAAATCTTATTATGCTTAGCGGTAATTGCACTTACTGTATATGGTTTTTAACTTCATTTTTAGCATTGGTGATGAAGACTGAATTCTTTGAAATATTTATACATGGGTGATCATTTTCTTCGTATACAGTACAGTATGTGTGTGAGGGAGGCAAACTTAAAATTTTAACATTAAATCCTATTTTTAGTTTTTTTTTCTGGATTAAATTATGTCATTGAGATGATTCATACATAACCAAATTTATCGGATGGTTGTTAGCTTAATTTAACTTTTCAGTTTATTCTTTTAGTTCAATAGTTAGACCTCCACTAAAACTCTTAAATTCAGACTTACAGTGATTAATACTTGGTAGAGTCATATGAAGATACATGTTATTCACATCTGATGAACTTGCTGCAATGCTAGACAGTGTCACAAAGGCTTCACCAAGGACAGCGTCTCTATGAATCTTCTTTTTGTCCATCAGCATCAGCACAAGGACACCCTCACTTATGTTGCTACCGTCTGTGCTGATATCACTGAAAGTAAAGTTTCCCAGGAAGAGATCATCATCATCATCATCAACATCATCATCATCATCAAGCTGTAGTTACCTGACATTCAGCTTTTAATCACTATGCCCTAGAATTGCTTACCTGGAATACAGTACGCACAGTGAAACTTGTCACTATGCAAAGGTGGGTAGTAACACCACAGCATGTGTTTCTATGTGAGGTTACCATGTGGCTATGCACCACATATTGGTAGGTAGTAACTCCTATACGATGTGGTACAGTTGCAGAAATGTGTTCCTACCAACCCGTGTGCTAACCCGTGTCACCAACCAGGCAACCTATATGACCAATCACGTCCGTCATTACACGGCCAATACCCAATTATTCATAAATATAGATACTACTACTGCGACGTTACCACTGGAGACACAGGTTACCACAGAAGGCGTAGGAGCACATTTCCGCAATTGTCCCACATGGACACACACATCATGTGTCGATAGACAGCAACCCCAGTGCCACTTATATGAAGTGGTGAAGAACTTAATTCCCCTTTTTCTTCGCAAACTAACTTGATTAAGGCATCTGCCATTTTCATAACGAATCTCAAAAATTAAGTGCAGGATTACTGTATCTTTTTTGTACACCTTTGCATCTTTTCCCGCTTCAAGCAGGATGGCTGGAAACAAGAGCGCGCGCGCACGCACGCACACACACACACACACACACACACACACACACACACACACACACACACACACACACACTACTACTACTACTTTGCTGTCACTCGGAATCGACAATTATCCAGCTCTGATACAATGATATGAGTTAATAAGTTTATCACCTAGTTTCGTGAGTTTTGAGGTGACTAAAGAGGCCAATACGGGACCCACAGGGTCGTCCACATTCGTTGCACATGTTAAGGGCTGCATCTAGTGAGGGAGGGGCGGTGGCAACGACTTTCCGGCGTTGGTGCTTGTCTGCCTCGGTTTGCAGTCGGGTTAACTCGAAAGTATTGACACCTTCTCATGTGGTGCTCCTCCAAGCGTTACGATGTGGAGTAATTGACTCCCAGGTGAGGGGGTCGATTTGACATTTTTTCGGGTTTGTCTAAGGACTATCCTTATACCTTTTCAATTGCCCACTGGCGTTACGTTTACTATTCGTTAGGTAACTGTAAAGTAGCTGCTTTGGCAGTCTACTGTCATCCATGCGGGTAACATGGCCAATCCAGCTTGTTCAAGGATAACAGTAGCCTCGATGCTCCTACAGTTGGTGTAAAAAAAATCTGGCATGTGTTCTCTTGTCTTCCCAGCATACTCGGAGGATGGAACGTAGATTACGTTGGTGAAAGTTTTCAAGTGCCTTGAGGTGCCTCCTGTATGTGACACATGTCTCACTGCAATATAGCAGGGTGGGGAGGACCAATGCTCAATATAAGAGTAGCTTTGTCGATAATTTCAGCTCCCTACAGCTGAAGACACGGTTTCGGAGCCTGTCAAAGGCTTAAGAGGCACATCTGACCCAATGCTGAATCTCTTCATCAATGTCTGCAGTGGAGGACAGGTGGGAGCCGAGATACCGAAAGTGGGTAAGGGTGGTACCGTTAAGCTGGATGGATGATGGAGGTGTGTCTGAACCAGGGGCAGGCTGAAAGAGAATCTGAGTCTTACGTACATTCACCTCAAGGCCGAAGTGTGCATACGGATCTGCGTAGGTGTTCAGGATCGCCTGTAGGTCGTGTTCAGTGTGAGCAACAAGGGTGAGGTCGTCTGCACACTGAAGTTCAGTAATCGGTCTGTGGTACTCCAAGGTAAAAGATCTCTGTGATCTCAACCGTCAGTTTCCCACACTTCCTTTCATCTCACATTTACCTAGTGAGGAGATCTAGAGAAGTCGACTTGTGAAAGAGACCTAGGGGTACTTGTAAGCCCGGACCTACGGCCTAGAAAACAGTGCGTTAATGTTCGAAATAAGGCAAACAGAGTATTGGGTTTTATATCTAGAAGTGTAAGTAACAAGAGTGCAGAGGTCTTATTGCAACTATATCTTGCGCTAGTCAGGCCGCACCTCGATTATGCGGTTCAGTTCTGGTGCCCCTAGAAAAGATATAAATTCACTAGAGTCGGTGCAGCGAAGAATGACAAAAATGATTCCGGGACTTAGAAACCTTCCATATCAGGATAGGTTAAAGAAACTTAACTTGCATTCCCTAGAAAGACGAAGAGTGCGGGGAGATATGATAGAAGTATTTAAGTGGGTGAAAGGAATCAATAAAGGGGATATAGATAAAGTTCTTATAATATCCGAGCAGGATAGGACTCGGAGCAACGGATTCAAGTTGGATAAGTTTAGGTTTAGGAGGGAGATAGGAAGAAACTGGTTCACAAACAGGGTGGTGGACGAGTGGAACAAGCTTAGCAACTTTGTAGTAAGTGCGGGAACTCTGGAAAGTTTCAAAAGGAGGCTAGATAGATTCATGAATGATAGAGAGTGGTAGTAACTCTCGACAAGAGCTGCCATGCACAGGCCAACCGGCCTATTGCAGACTCCTTATTTTCTTATGTTCTTAAGTTCTTATAATTAATAACCATTTTGCTACCATATGTCATACCTTACCCAGTCTTGACCTCACTCTCCTCCCAGCTTACTTACCCCCCCCCCCTCCCAGTGTTCAACCATATGAAATCGCCAACAAACTCCTGAAATTTAAATCCAAATGCTCCACGACCCCAATTGACCTCCCAATCAAAATATACAAGAAGTTTGCAGTCGAACTTGCCACCCCCCTCTGTTCTATTATTATTAATGCATCCCTCAGACAAAGCAAATGCCCTAATGAATGGAAAACCTCATTTGTCACCCCCATCCCCAAGGTCACCATCCCACAGTCTCCTAACGACCTCAGGCCAGTTGCCATTACCCCCATACCCAGTCTGCTTTGTGAGGACTTTGTTTTTGAGTGGGCCAGTATCTATCAGTCAATTGATCCACAGCAATTTGGCAATATGAGGACCTCCTCTACATCACACTGCTTGGTGAGCTTTCTGGATTTTTTGCACAAAAACTTGCAGAAACGTAAGACATCACTGGAAGTTGCCCATGTTGACTTCAGGAAGGCTTTTGACCTTGTTGATCACTGCACTGTTATCAACAAGGCTATTGCACTAGGGCTGCCCACCAACCTGGTCTCATGGCTCACTGATTTCTTGAGTGGACGTCGCCAGGCAGTGAGGTATCAGGGCTTGGTCTCCATATTCCAACACCTCACCTGCGGTGTTCCCCAGGGGACCAAGATGGGACCACTGTGCTTCCTCATCCTGATCAACGACGCTCTATCGGACACTCCTCACAGGTGGAAGTACGTGGATGACTGCACTGTGGGAGTTTCGGTGGACAACACCACACCAGACTACTCAACGCTACAAGGCACCCTGGACAGGCTACAGGCATGGACTACGGAGAACAAGGTCACCATCAACCACACCAAAACCGTAGTCATGCGCATCAATACCGCCACCACTCCAGTGCAAGCCCCAGCAGTCCCACTGGGTGCCCATCCTCTCCAGCTGCTGCAGTCTGCCAAACTCCTGGGTGTAACTATAGACAACAAACTTGACTGGAAGGCCCATGTATAAGATACAGTCAAGGCACCCTCGTACCGTCTCTACATGCTACGACGACTTAGGTCACTTGGGACACCCACGCCAGAGCTGAGGACCATCTACAACGCCTTTATTCTCCCCAAACTAACGTATGCGTCACCAGCCTGGTCGTCTTCTCTCAACTCCACCCAACAACGTCAGCTAGAGAAGGTACAGAAAATGGCCTGCAGAATCATGCTCGGCGCAAAATACTCCGGCTACACCAACGCTCTCTCCACCCTGGAAATGCCATCCCTCAGTGACCTCCACCACCAAGCACTGGAAAGGTTTGGCAGTGGACTACTGCATCACCCTCGACATCGCCACCTCCTGCCACCTGCAGCCCCCCACCCAACTCGCACAGTCCGCCACTACAACAAAATTCAGCCCATAAGAGCCCGCACCGATAGATATAAGAACAGCACCATCCCATCTATTGTTAAAATAATAAACAACTCCTGATTTATGTACTGTACAGCCCTGTAAATGCATTCAATGCATAATATATCATTATGTCTAAATCAAATGTAAGTCTGTATATTTTCAGCCACCGGCTGCAACTCTATTAATAAACCGTTTATTATATTATTATTATTATTATTATTATTATTATTATTATTATTAATGGAAGCTGCCGACACCGTTGTTCTTGCCTGGAGTCGTCTTATGTTGAAAAGACCCTTCACCCGGTACTCGATGTCCACCCCGCTGGCTAAATTGGCACTGGCACGTGTAAGGAAGGCAGCCAAGAAAATGGAAAAGAGAGTTGGTGCCAGTACACACCATTGTTTAACCCCTGTTTGGATGGGGAAGAACTCAGACTGGGTGCCGTTGTGCAGGACACTGCCGTTCATTCCATCGTGGAGTCGCCTCACAATGGCGATAAATTTTGGTGGGCAGCCAAAACGGCTGAGGATCCACCAGAGGGCTTCCCTGTTGACCGAATCGAAGGCCTTGGTTAGGTCGATGAGAGCCATGAACAGGTCACGACACTGTTCTCTGCACTTTTCCTGTATCTGGCAGGCAGTAAAGATCATGTCAGTGGTGCCACGTGATGGTTTAGGAGGACTCGGGAGATAATCTTGCCAGCTACGGACAGCAGCGACATCCCACGGTAGTTGCCACAGTCTGACCGGTCTCCCTTAAGCTTATAAATATTGACAATGGTGGAGTCTTTAAAAGCTTGGGGAATTTCCTCCTTTTCCCATATATACTCCAGGAGAGAGTGGAGATGGCTTGTAAGCAGATGTTCTCCTGCTTTACACCTCGGCTTGAATTCCATCAGGCCCTGAGGCTTTGTTATTTTTCATCTGTTTGATGGCAGTAGCTACCTCATCCAGGGATGGAGGATAGCTGAGGTGGGTCAGCTCTGGATGC